TTCAGCACTGGCCCCGGAGCCCTGGCACTAGGGGCAGAGGCAACATCAAAGCGGGGATTGGCTGACTCCCACCCCAAATGCCAAGCAGGCCCGGCTCAGGAAGCGCTGGGGGCGTGACGAATCTCAGCCGCCTCCAGCCTGTGATCCTGGCCAGCCGGCCTCAGGCCTCCTCGGAGGGTTTTGACGATGGAGTCGGTGGGGTCCTGGCACACGTGGCCGTGTGTGTACACTTGCTCGTGCTCCTCCTGTGAAGTGGGTTCAGGGTGACAGGCTGCAGGAGCTGTTCCCTTGGCTTTGGAGTAAAATCATGTTCTGTGGTCTGGGGCCGCCTGGCATTAGGTGCCGGGACATTCTATCACTGTGCCGGCCAGCTGGCTTGGGAGAGGGGGCGGGGCAGCAGCCACCAAACCACCAAGTCATTTTCTTCGCTGGCTTCATCCCCAGGTGCAAATAACAAACAACAAACTTTTACTGTGGTCTTTCAGAGAAGCTCACATTACTCAAGGATCAGGGTTGGTTCTTTATGGCTTGTGTGACCTGTGCACGGGGGGTCTAGGATGTAGGCTTCCCTGGAATATATAGATACTGGAAAACTTCAGGCAGACTGCAGCCTGCCCGAGGAGAACGTTACTGGTGCTGCGCTGTCCAGCCACTGTGGGAGCACCCACTGGGGCCAGAGAGCGGGTGCCTTTTGCCCTCCCTCCTCCCCAGGCCTCCTTCCGGTGCCACTTCTAGCAGGCAAGGGGAGGTCCCAAAGCGGGAGGGGGAAGCAAAGGTTAATCGTCCACCAGTGGGACAAGCAGGTGCGGGTCATTAGCACGTGGTTGCTTGCCGTGTTCACAACCTGCGGAGACAGGGGACCCTCGTGTGTCCTTGCTTTCCTCTGGTGGCTTCCGATGACATGTTGGCTTGATGTGAGGGGGCGCTGCGTGGTGGAGGTAGAAGTGGAAGAGGCTGTCTCTAGCGGCCTATGGATGGCTTGGTCTTGTGAGCGGGGAGTTGAAGGTGATCCTGGCGGCACCTGTACTTTGTAAAAGCACGCTCACAATGGTTTGGGCCATTGGGCCAAAAGCCTTGTGGGACAGAGAAGGAAAACGATTCTCAGGCTGAGAAAGTGCGTTGCACCGTACTCTCATCCAGACTCAAACTCTGTTATTCCAATCCCTACGTTTCCAAGAGTAAGTTGGTCGGAATCACTTTCCCAGGATGTGTTTTGGTTTCTCAAAATGAAACAAAAGAAAGGCCCCTTTTCGAGAGTGAGTACTGAGTCTGAAGGGCAAACCCAGCCTGAACTGTGCGAAAAAGTCCAGACACTTGCCAAAAGCCCACTTTAGACAATTATAAATAATTTGGCGATGCGGTGACCACATACAATAAAGTTACTTGGATGCCCTTAGCGAGGGCAAGTAGCCCTAAAATTCCATCGTAGTTGGCATTTCCATGGCAGCTGCCTAGCGCTGAGTCACATGTTGTGTCCAGACCTTTACAAGCCCCAACTACACACACACACACACACACACACACACACACACACACACAATTGTTTCCATTACAACGGAGCCTTCTGGGGCTTTCCAGACTGGACCCTGAGCTCAGACACGATTCCAATAGAGACAGCATAGTTCTGAGAGAGACCCACAGGCCACTCGATGCCACCAAAATAGACATGTGAAGTCCTAGCTTAGCTGACAGGGAGGGTGGAGAGGGGCAAGCCACTCCAAAACACGTCCACCTGATGGAAATATTCTGAACTGGAATGAGCTGTAAATAAACTAGGCCATGCTAAAAACAAACAGTTCCAGGGAGGGAAGGAGGGGGCAGAAATAGATGGCTTTCACCTGCTTCAGTGAAGTAGGTCAAGGTCAAGGAGGGATCAGGTGGAGTACACAATGCAGGCGCCTCATCAGGAAAAGCAACTTATAATTCATGTTCACTGAAGAGGGCTCCAGGCTCCGGGAAGAAGTAACAGAAATGATTATTATGTTTCAGTAGTAGAAAGTGCACCAGGTACTGGGTGAAGGAAGTCATTCGAGGCCAAATATGGTCTGGAAAAATAGATGGTGATGCGAGGGATTCAACCACGTGGACCCGCCAGCCTCCCAGGTGCTCCTGGCTGGTGGACGCTTTGTGGGAAGCTGCAGTCTTGGCCTTCAGCTGTCTCTGTGGGGAAAGAGAGACAAAGAAGGAAGTGTAGCAGGAAGGGCTGTAAAAGAGTCCTGGGCTCGGCCTGCACCCGTCATCCTGCTCCCTACACCTGAAATATGGTGGAGCCATTGACACCGCCGCTCCTCACTACCCAGAGCTCTAGGAAAGAACCGGCCTGTGTGTCAAGTTTGATGACAACAAAGCTCTATCCTCTTACTGCTGAGAAAAAGCAGCCGTGACAGCCAGAGCTGACCTGATGATCACGGCTGGGCGTGGTGCTCCACTGCAGCACATAGACAAGTCCACGCCACAGTGCCGCACACAGCACCACTCTGTGGCCTTGATGGATCGGGACGGAAGGAAACACACCCTAAAGGAAGACTGCCATACAGCCACAGCGGTGACCACTCCCTGTTTTCGCAAATACGCATGATCACTGCCTTAGGCTTCTCTTCCTGCTGGTGAGAAGGAAGACACCCAGGCACAGGCCAGCCCTTGCTTTGTGACAGCGTCCAACCCAGAGCAAAGCCAGACTTTGCTGCCTCCTAGCTTCCCCCAAATCACCCAGCAGAAGCCCGAACCCTAGAATCAATCCTCGCTAACACTCCCTTACTGAGATGCATCCTAGTTCCTCCCAGGTGAGTTTTCTGTGGCTGCCGTGAATCAACAAACCCGGCTTGTTGACTGTAGTTGTGTTCCCAGGGGTCTTTGGTTGAAGGAAATTGCTGCAGTAGTCTCAGGGTGTTCTTATAGGAGCGCCCTGCCTCCTTCTTAGGTCTTGGCTTTCATTTTTACCCATATGTAGTCATAGTGTAGAGTTTAGAAGGAAGAACTCTGGAGCAAGACTCCTTGGGTTCTAGTCTGGGCCCTTCACTTGCTACCTGTATGACCTTGAACAAAATGCTTAATTCACTGCCTCAGTAAACTGTCCTGTAAAATGGGAGTGATGATGGTGATAATGGTGGTCGTGGTGGTGGTGATGATGGTGATAATGACAGTGCGTAACTGTCAGGGTCACTGTGAGAAGTAGGTACGTTTCTATGCAGGAACCACTTAAATGGTATCTTGCATATAGTGTATTTCATTAATATTAATTCAGCAAACACTTGTGGGGTGCCTAGTGTCTGCCAGGTACACTCTTGACCCTGAGAATGAACCCTGCCTCCTCCCCTCCCAGAAAACACACTTTATTCAAGGAAACTGAGGAAACAGTTTCACTCCATGGAGAAGAGATGACATGAAGATAAATCCAAAAAAAATATGTAGCAGGACCGGACCTGCTGGCACCTGCCTGCAATCCCAGCTACTCAGGAGGCTAAAGCAGAAGGATCACAAGTGTGAGGCCAGCGTGGACAACCTAATAAAATTTTAAAAGGGGCTCAGGGATGTAGTTCATCCCTCCTTGAGTCCAATCCCCAGGGCCATAAAACAAAAACACAGCAAGGCTGCTCTACCTTGGCCTGGGAAGTCAAGGAAACCTTCCTGGTGAGCATGCGAAGACCTGAGATCAGGGCCACAAGACGTGGTAGACGACCTGCATGTATTCTGTAAGCTAGAGATTCCGTGAAAGTGCAGCCGTAAGAGTACCACTGTGAGACCAAAACTGGGAATTAAAGAGTGACGGGTTTTGGCAATTATGAATATTGCTACTATGAACACTCTACTTCATGAGTTTCAGTGAAAATACACCCACCTTTCTGTTGGTAAATACCCAGGGGTGAAGTTGTTGGGGTACAGTGTACGTCTGTGTTTAGCTCTAATAGAAAATATCACCAGCTTTGTCCCACCAACCCATGTGTGATAATTCTGGCTGTTTCCCACCCTTGCCACACTTGCTGTTTTCTGTCCTTTTCATTTTAGCCATTTGGGTAGGCGTGCGATGATGTCACCCCAGAGCGGGTCCTTAGGGTTCAGCAGAGTGAGTAAGGCTGTAGTCTTGCCACACAGCTAAATTTTATTTAGCAGAGTTAGCTGTACACAATAGCCTCTGTGACTCCCACAAACACTGTGTTGTGCAAGAGAAGCCAAAAGTAAGAATTCATACTGTATGATTCCACTTACATAAAATGAAAAGCTAGGCAAGATGAACCCCTTGCGTTATATATTCAGGCTGGTGGCAGGTAGGGAGCAGTGGGATTGGAGCTTGTGGGGCTTCTGCTGCTGGGTGTTCTGTCTCTTGATCTGAGTGCTGGTTTCTAGAGTCTGTTCACTTTGTAGAAATATACTGGGATGTAACTTATGATCTGTGTGCTTTTTGTAACATATAGTTTCACACTGAATACATATTGAGCATAGGTGAGACTCCATTTAGAAAGGAAGCTAGAAAGGTCCAGGGCCCGCTAGTCACCTCCTCATGCTCAGATTAGGCCACCAATTTATTGAGACATTAAACTGTGACTGTCCAGTGAAATGACTGACACTTGAGTATGTGCGTACAGTCTGTGTTTTAAATCATGGGCCTGAGCACCTCGAAATCAACGCGTCCTCTAACTCTGGTGGCCTCTTGTTTACATAGTTTCCTCCCAAGCACAGTATCAGAGTCATTAACAACTACTCCCTTCTCTCCAGGTACTGGGGGCACATCATGAGTCTGTCTGAACTCTGTGTCCCTTTTCACATCTACAGAGTGACAGTTAGTTTTTGAAGAAGGAGAAATGGATCTTAAATGGTCACAGTGTCCCATGCCATCTTAATTCAGCAAAAGCAAGACCAAGGCCTTGTCAAGTAGCAAACAGGTCTGCTCCCGTCCCTAACAGGTTAGAAGGCAGAGCTGGAGGTCTGGGGTGACTGTGTGGGTCCCTCTTGGGCACAGTGGGCATGACCCCATACTGACAAGCAGCAGTTTTCTCTGCCAGCCCTTCCTGGCCTGGATCAGAAGAAGCGTGGTGGCCACAAGGCATGCTGTCTCCTGACTCCCCCTCCGCCCCCGCTCTTCCCCCCGCCGTTCTTCAGAGGAGGCCGAAGTCCGGTGAGTACTTAGGACTTATGAGTGCATAGCACACTGGGCTTCCTGATGCCCACCCTGTACTCCACCTGCTCCCCATGGGCTACGTCCACAATCTTATCTGAGAGTCTACCCTTTGCTCTCACTCTGAAATTCAGCCCCGGAATGGACATTTGCAGATTCTGGGCCTGATCCACTCTTGTGCTGTCTGAAATCACTGATGGGGGGATGGCCTTCTCAGCTGAATATTGATTTTGGCAGAGTGTCCCATCTTTTTTAAAACAATGAGGTGAATTTATAACTTTCTGCATTCCCATCAACTGCTCAGATATGGAATTTCCTCTTTCCTTTTCCTTCCCCCCAAGTATTAATAAAATTCCCTAGCTGGGGAGGGGAGAGGATGGGGAAAAGGAGATAAAAATGGAGGAGTATATAAATGGTGAAGAGAGGGTAGAGAAAAGTGAGATAACATGCACCAAAGTACAATTAGGCTGAAAGAATTACTTCTAGTGTTCTATGACACAGCAGGGTAACCACAATCTTCAATTTATGATATATTTTCAAATAACTAGAGAAAAGACACATAGAAATGATAACTGGGGCCGGGGATATAGCTCAGTGGCATAAATAGCTGCCTGGCAAGCGCAAGGTCCTGAGTTTAATTCTGGTACCAAAAAAAAAAAAAAAAAGATAACTGATTGAGGAGGTGAAAACGCTAATTATATTGATTTGACTATTATACATTGTATATGCACATTACATTGTCAGTGTGTGTCCCATAAATATGGATAAATCTTATGGTTAGATTGCAGAAGAAAAACCTTCCCCACAGTCCATGTCTTAGGTAGACCATGTCCATGAAGTGACACAGGAAATAGTGTTCCTGCAGCCACACCAAAGCATGAGAAGGAACAGATTTAGGGATGGAGGAAAAGGTGAGGAAAGGGACAGGATTCAGAACTAGAAGAAGCCAGGGCATTCTAGGGACCTGGAACCCTCAGGTCTTTCTGGAAGCTCTTAGACCTATACTGTACCACAGCTCCTCACTCTAAGTGGCTATCAGGCATCTTCAAGGCAGCTAGTTCAAATTGAGCGTGCTGCAAGTATACAATACACACTGAAGGATGAAGACCTAGTATGAGACAAAGAGTGAAAAATATCTCATTAGTCATTTTCGTAATGAATATATGTTGAAGTGACAATAGTTGGGGTACATTGGGTTAAACAAAATATATTATAAAAATTAGCTCCACTTGTTTTCTTTGACCTTTATAAAAGGTAAAAATGTAGATACCAGAAAATCTAAAATTATAGTGTGGTTCTTGGCATGTTTCTTCTACTGAACAGTGCTGTCCTAGGCATTGCATAAGGGCCCTTGCAATGAGCTTCCTATCTCTACCCTAAGGGGCCATCCTATCTCATGAATCCATCCCAGTCAAGCTGTCTCAAGAGCAAACAAGAGAGCTGAAACTGGTGTCCCCAAAGCCCATCTTCCCAGGACACTCGTTCGGGTGCCAGGGAATCGCCAGCCTTGGACCTGAACATGGAGCGGGGCACTGTCCAGAGAGGCAGCCCTTCCTCGGTTCCCAGAGTCTGACCTATAACCCTGTGTTGCTTTGCACTGAAGCTTCTCTCCCCAGACATGAAGAATCTCCTCCTGGAACTCGAGACCTCACAGTCCCCGTGCCTGCAAGGCTCCCTCGGCTCCCCTGGGCCCCCTGGCCCCCAGGTAGGTGTGCTGCCTCGCTGCCAGACCCCTTCCGCTGCCTTGTTCAGAGCAGGAGAGCCCCTGGGCAGAGCCTCTTGGTGTCTACCTGTCCCTTTACATCTGATGAGGGGCTGCTTCGCCTTCTCTAGCTTACCTGCCCCTCCAGAGCCACCTGGAGAGAGCGCTGGTTTCCTTCTGGGTGAATTCTGGCCACCTGGGTATGATTCCTCATCTATACAAGCCGAATAATAATCGTTCCTGCCACCCTAGATTTTGGGAGAATCAAGTGAGATTCTGCCTCTGTGGATGTGGCCACAGTTATAGTTGTCATGAGACAAAAGCTTGACCATAGTATACCTAATGTGCCCACTGGCCCACCTGCAGACCCAGAGGTACCAGCGTTCAGTGCAGGAAAGTGGAAGCAAGAGGAGCTCACTACCCTGAGCTTCACTGGGCCCCAGTATTGCTACCAAGCTGCCCACTCGTCCCCACCAAAAGTAAAGGAAGGATGAATAAGAGACAAAACACCAGAGAAAGGATTTTCTAGACAAAGAAAAGAGTACCTGCTAGAAACCCCGTCTCCCTCCTGCTCCTGTGGGCTGCCTCCGAGAGGGGCTCCATCCGTGAGGGGCAGTCCTAGCCTGGGAGGAGAAAGACAGTGCGTGGAGCAGTCAGTTCTCCAAGTTCCTGCCCACGCAGGGAGCGCATGAGCTGTCACTCACGTAAGCTAACCATCCCGTGGCTTCCTCTCACTGGAAGAGTCAGGGCCGAACTCTTTACCCCAGGGTATGAAGCTCACAGGAGGGGACTCTGGCTTGTGTCCTCTCAGCAGCTCACATCCCCTCTGGTACTGGCTCAACACAGCTGTAGCAATGGTCTCCCAGATTCTCATACAGTCTAAGCTTCGTTCAATGTTAGGGCCTTTGCATCTGCTGTTCCTGCTACTTAGGGTGTTCTCCTCCAGATATTTATCATAGCTGGCTCCTTATTCACTCGGAACTCAGTTTATGTGTCTCCTCCTTAGGAACAAGTAAAGAAAGTGATCTCCTCCAACACCACCGTCGCTCACAGTCACTACAGCCTAGTAGAAATTTTTCTCAATCTGTTATGGTTTCCTGATTTTTTGTTGTTCCTGGTCTCTTTGGTCTCCCCTCTATAAGTAAGCCCTACAGCATACAGCTCATGGATCAAACCAGCAACAGCCTGTTTTTCTAGCTAAAGTTTTATTATCTATGGCTGCTTCTGGGTTACAAGGGCAGAGTTGACAGAAACTGAATATGGCCTTCAAAGCCTAAGATATTCAGTTACTCTCAGGCCTGGTACAGAAAAAGCTTAATGGTTCCTGGCCTACGGGAACAGGGACAATGTCTATCCGCTCCTAGTTGTATCCCCACAGCGCAAAGGGTTGTAGCCCGTTCTCCATAAATACCTGTTGAATGCACTAAGGAAAACAGGAATTTGAACCTAGAGGCTACCACAGAGAATCTGGGAAGTCTGAAGAAAGACCAGGTGGAAATCCTCTGAGGTGGGTTTTATTGTCCTACCTGTAGCAGTCTATTCCAATGGGTCTTGGGGCACAGGAGAACCAGCAGAGCATCGGGAAGAAAAAAGGGGTTCTCTGCTGACCTAAGAACAGCAGCTCCTCCATTCCACCAAACACCTCACTCCACACAATCCCCTTTGACTTGCATGGGGGCTGCGCGGCCCAGCTGTGAGGTCTGTGGGACCACCTCAGATCCCCTAGCATAGTGTGAGCCAGGCGTGGTGGCGCACACCTGTAATCCCAACACTCGGGAGGCTGAGGCAGGAGGATCGTTGCAAGTTCGAGACCAGCCTTTGCTACAAAGTGAGCTCAAAACCAGCCTGAACTGCAGAGTGAGATCCTGTCTCAAAAAGCCAAAATTAAAAGAGCACCTAGCATAGTGTGAATGCTGCCCCTTCTCAAAGTGAGATCAGTGACCCAGTGACTTTGGTACATGCAGAAGCTGGTTAGCAATGCAGAATCCCATCCCCCGCCCCCAGACAGAATCTTCACTTTAGTGTTTGGCAAGACATGCTCCACCCCATCTGCACCTTACGGACTGGGAAACGCTGAGCCGGAGCACAGAGATCTTATAAAATAGTTCTAGGCATTTTAAGAAATGACAAACATTAGGGCTCAGAAGAACAAAGAGAACGGAGTACCATTTTTTTCCTCCCTCCTTTCCCCAAAGCAGTAGATACCTAAACCCAAGATGGTGGTTCTCAAGCTTATCTGCACACTATGATTCCTTGGGGAGCTTGGGAAACTCCGGAAGCTCATTCTCTTCCCCCTAGATTGTTATTTAATTGGTCTGGGGTGTGCACTGGGCTCTCAGAGTTTTCCAAGATCCACTAGGAACTGTAGGATACTGACAGACCTGGGAACTGCTGGCTGGGGTTCCTGGTCATTCGGACGAGCTTCAGAGGACACATTTCAGGCAATCTTTTTACTGTGCATGTTTACCTGTGGGTGTTAGGACACACTGGGGTTCCGAGGGCATTTGGTGAGTTTGTCCCCTGTGTCCTGGGAATCAGTAAGACAAAGTCAGTCACTGAGCATTTCACAGACATGGGAGCCCCACACAAATGTGCTGTGACTGCAGGTGTGCAAAGCATCGGTGCGATGGGTGCTGGGCCCCGGAAGTAGACGCGCCCTGCTCCTGTGGCTGGGCAGTGGCGCAGAAGGGTGCCCTTACTTCTTCACATTTTCATGCCTTAAAAAGATGGGAAGGGGCGAAATATTAGGCTCCTGGTACCCACAGATTAGCCATGGGAATCTGTAAGTCGGCTGCTGCTTAACTTCGCTTCCCTCTTCTCACTTCCCTCGGCCCCAGGAAAGCTTGGTAGGAATAGTGGAAAAATATGAGAGGCAGCAAGCATCGTGTTCTCAGCAAATGGGATCTCCTCGGGACTCCTTTGGTGCTCTCACTAAGCACTTGGGACGTTTCAGGCAATCAAAGGATTCCAGGGACAAAGTTAAAGTCACACAGAGAGTGGATGTGTGAGCCTCATGACTGAGGTACCGCCGGAAATGCGCCGAGAAAGCACAGGAGAGGAAGGGCGGGGAGGAGAGCGGGATGCAGGACAAAGCTCTTCTCCGGGGTCCCAGGAGCCCCACATCCACACAGATCGTCACTGGTGCTGTGAGGGTGCAGTGCACCAAGCTCCCACCCACCTCCCCACAGCACTCCCCACTTGGCTTGGCATATTCTTCTTTAATTCTTGTCTTGATTGTGTAGGGTCCACCGGGGCTTCCTGGCAAGATAGGACCAAAGGGAGAAAAGGTATGAGCCCCTACTTTCTTCAACCCACCTCTCCTTGGTAACTCCAGCTTGTTTTATGGGGTGTCACTGAGCATTTTCTGGTTAATATTTCAAAGAATGTGCTCATTCTGCCTAAGTGTAATGACAGGGCCCCCGATGCCTAGCTGCTACCGGGGTGTGGGATACCACTGGTATATTCAACTTGGTCCACTGGCATGGTGGGAATGCTGTGACCAGCCAAGGGCCTGGCCAGCAGACTGAGCCGCACAGTCATGCCCAGCCACCAGCCTTATGATCTCTCCACAGCAGCCTCTGCTTACCTTCTTCTCCATCCGCAGGGAGAACTCGGCCGGCCAGGAAGGAAGGTATGGTCCATACTTATCTGTGAGCATCACACAGGCTACCGTGTGCCACATGCGTGTGAGTGTATGTGCATTCTCAAGGGGGAGGAGACAGCGGTTCCCTGTTATGACCACTAACAACCATCTGGTGGGCAGTGACAGTGCTGCCGTCCTGGCTGTGACAGTAGAAATCCTTTGGTCAGGAACCGGTGCTTGCTACCACTAGGTGTTCAGATTTCTTCCAATGGCAGCAGCGAGCCTGGCCAAACTTCCTCCAGGTTCAGACACCTTATGCCACTCCAAGGCTCCAACCAGTTACACTGCAGGACTCTCACTGTCTGTTTGATTAAACTGGAATAAAGTTCCAGAGCAGACAGAAGCAAATGGCTTTTGCTTTTTTGGTATATCCGAAATAAATGGGAGTCACTTAAAGTTAGTGATGCTGAGTGAAGCAGACATACATTATCAAGACTCTCATTAGTGTCAAGAGGGAGTAAACCAGCAGCCTGTGTCACTCGCTGTGGTGAGTGCATACTGGTGCTGATACTCTTGGCCTCGCGATTGAAGGAAGTGTGAAACTTTGGCAGAGACAGATACTTATGGCTCGTAATATAAATTACTATATTCTCAGCTAAATGTTTTACTCAAATGGGATCCCTGTCAATGAGAGCCTTACACTGGCCCTTGCAAGGTACAGATGTCAACTCCAGCCACCCCGTGGCAGCTGTCTGGAAAGGAACGTTCACATGCTCAGACCGAACAAGTGCCATGTTGATCAGTGATGCGTGCCGTGGGTGTGGGAGGCGCAAGAAGAAATCAGTACACGCGCCAGCATTTGGCATCTCCAAGATCTTTGCTGAGCCTCCAGATCTCCAGCCAGCTGAGAACAAAAGAGACCCTTGGCCATGCTTCCATGCTGTCTTATAGGTCTTGCTCTTCCACAGTCCTTGGTTTAGGTTGGTTTCCCTAGAAGCGGAGATATGTACAAGTGAACAAACTATTAAGGGATCTTGTAGGGAGTGGGAGGAGCCAAGCAAGAGTGTGGTGTAAGGTGACGTCCAAACTCAGAAGCCTGATCCCTAGGGGAGCTCTGGAGCATGGGCTGCCTGTAATCGGGCTATCAGCTGCAGGAAGAGTGGTACATAAATTACCAGCCATCCAACTGCCCATGCATAAACTCTACAGTTGCAGGTTGCAGAGAGAAGTTGTCCACAGGAAGGAAGGATGGTAGCTTCCTGAAGATAAGTGCTCTAAACTGGTAAAAAGATCTTGAGAGAGTACCAACTGCATCTGGTACTGATCCACACACATAACCCTATCTCATTCCACAGCGCTGCCTGTGGAGAACCCACTGGAATGCCGGGATATTAGATGGGTGGTTAGACATGATAAAGGTTGAAAACAAAGCAGTTTAGCATCCCACTATTGTCCATTTGTTGAGTAGAATGTAATTGTGTTTTGTGATACTTTATGACATCAAGGATTTAATGTGTATCTAAGTGTCCCAGCTTTCTAGGGCCGCAGTCTTTGGAAGGTAAGGATGAAGGCCCTGTAGACCATGCTTAGATTCCCTATACTGGAATCTGGGCCCAAGATATTCTTAGAAGGAGGGAAATATACCAGTTGTCCTAACTTTTGTTCTTGGTTTTTGAAGGGTAGACCTGGCCCCCCAGGTGTTCCGGGTATGCCTGGGCCCATTGGCTGGCCAGGCCCTGAAGGACCCAGGGTAAGTGTGTTATGCTGTTGGGCTCATGTGATGTCAGAACAAGAAAGGAGAAGATGACAGCTCCCCTGGTATAGTCAGTGAATCATTTCCTAAACAGGGGAAGCAGAGTGCTAGGGGACTGTCCATGGGTCCACAGACACTTCCTTCTTCACTTGGCCTGCAGACCTTGTTCAGTGCAGTGCCTCTGCTCCTGTAGAAGGAGAAACAGCGCCCTCTTTCACAGGGTCCTGCCTTCCCCTTTGACCTGAGAATTAGCATACTATTTTCTGGTTTCCCCATGATGACCCCAGGGGGACTTGTGTCAGGAAACTCTTGCCTGTCGAGCTGATCTGATAGGAGTAGAGAGCTGAGGGAGTGGGTGTTGGCTAGCTTGGGAGAAAGATAGAAATCCTGCATAGAGCTACCATCAAGTGCTGATGAAATCTCCTTGCTCAGAGAGGAAGCAAACACATCCATATCCATCCCTCTGAGTATGGTCTTCTCAGCACTGGTCCAGACCACAGTATGGAGATGTCTGAACGGCCCTCCCTATGCAAAGAGCAAAGCACACAAAGTTTTTTGTGTATATTGACACCTTGTCTTCTCAGGCCCTGGTGCCCTCAGGCTGTGAACTGTTGTTTGACTTGGAAATTTTACCTGCAGAAGTCAGGGGTAGGCAGGTGAATGCCACCAACTGCTCGGATTCTCTTATACTGGCTGTATTATGGGTATAGAGAACTGTATTTCCAGTCCTCTGTGGAAAAGTCCCAAGGATATTTCTTTTTAAATTCCACTGTATAGAACTGAGCCCTCCAATATGGCAGCCATTGGCTGTGTTGGCTAGTGAGCCCTTGAAATGTACCAGTGCAACTGAGGAGCTGGATTCTTTTTTAAAATTCATTTGAGTTTACATTTTAGAACCTTCACTCAATTCAGTTGTTTGAAAATTTTCAGGTATATTTGGAGCAACTTAAATGTGTGATTCTTCTTTCCCAACCATAAATTTTATGAAATCTACTTACAGATCAAGTACTTGGAATGAAAATTTAACTTAAATTGAGATGTTTCTTAAATGTAAAATACACAACAGATTTCAAATATTTATTAGGAAAACAGAATGTAAAATATCTTGTTGATAATTTTAAATTGATTATATATTGAAATGATAATTAAACTAGTAAATTAAGCAAATTATATTGATGAAATTATTTTCACTTGCTTAGTTTTACTTTTAACATGACTTCTAAAAACACTTAAAACTGAGTATGTGGCTCACCTTATATTTCTACTGGTTGGAATTAAGTATGGGAGATGCAAGAAGTTCCAACTGCAATGCTTTCTCAGGGGTAACAGAACCCACTTATGAACCTGAATGTGACCCTCCGCCGTAGGCTATACCCAGAGGTGACACTCACTGTATTTGGTCTCAAACATAGGGTGAACATGTGTGGAGATGTCTGAAAGGCCCTCCCCACGCAAAGAGCAAGCCAGCCAAAGACTTTTGTGTATATTGACACCTTGTCTTCTGAGGCTCCGGTGCCCTCACGCTTTCTCCCCAGCCCTCCCACAGTTCTCCCTAGGAAAAGATCAAGTACCACCACTTACAACACCTTCCTGAGTATGTAGTTTAGAGATCTGCTCCACCTTGGGTGTTTTCATTTTATATTTAATCTGAAATACCCTGGGAAGTGTAAAAGGGGGAAATTGGAGGACCTCAGAGTCACAATCCAGTTTCAATGTCCCTGCTTCTTCTAGTTCAATTTTTTGCCCATGACTCTTCTGGCTCAGTTTCTCGAAGAAAAATCACTGTGGACCTGCTTTTCCTTCTAATTCGTGCAGGGTGAAAAAGGCGACCTGGGTATGATGGGCTTGCCAGGGTCAAGAGGACCAATGGGCTCCAAGGTTAGTGTGTGCTCCAGAGGGACAATCCCAGATCTTCTTACTAAGGCTTTGGAGCAGCTGTGGTCTACAAAGCAGGGAGTGTGGAGCTGCTGTCCTAGGCTGAGAAGTGTCACCGACATTGGGAAGCCCAGTGCTTTTCCTTATCAGCCCTTTGGGGGACATCTTGCCCTGGGATGCAGGGGCATAGGGATGCCATTCTGCTCTCCTATGCTGTGATGAGCAAGCTTCTGGACAACTGAGCAAATGGAAACCTTTGTTCAGGTCTCTGGGGGATAAAGCAATGTTCTTTTTAGGCCTGATAGAAACAAAAGCCTCTGGGCTGTCTTTATGATTGCAACCCCCTAAAACTTGCAATGCAATGTGGAGAGCCCTTAGTATCCCAGTCAGGGATTTCTTTCACTCCTGGACTACACCCAACGGTCCTACAGCACTGATTGTAAGTACGCTTTCTGCTTTCTTCTAGGGCTACCCTGGATCCAAAGGAGAAAAGGTCAGTGCTTGTCTCTGATGGCATACCAGAACCTGGCCTGACTGTAGGCGCTTGAGCCAGTGACGGACAGAGGACGGGCGGAGGTCTCTCTTTAGTCAATAACTGCAGCAATCATTCCTAGCTATTCCTCTGTCTTTTATCAACGGCTAGAGAGAGGAGCCTCCAGCATAGGGAAGAGCTCACAGTGGAGACAGATGTATGCACATAGAGCAGATGAGTGAGGCTGGCAGGTAGCGGAAGGACACAGTTTGCATGGGGGTGCTGGAGGAAGGTGGTAAGTATGTGTCCTGAGACTCAGCTTCCGCAACACAGCCTCCCTCACCTATCAAAACAAAACAAAAACCAACAGAAACTTGGAGACAAATTTCTTATGGGATAAAGGATAAGCTAGGACCCAGAATTTTCTGTGCATTGTCCTTTATTAATTCAAGAGCTCTTTAGGGTCCAAATAGAAGGCAGATCCCGAAGCATTCCTTTCATGGGAAAGTCACCCAACAGCTCTAAGCTATTTGTCTGTAAAATGAGGGTCTCGTCATAGGAAGCTTTTCAGTTTGAAATGCGTCACTTCCCTCACCCCCACCCCACCAAGATATTAACTCATTGACTCTCTCCTCTGCTTTCCTCCTAGGGATCCAGAGGTGAAAGGGGTGACTTGGGTCCCAAAGGTGAAAAGGTAATGGCCAGCCAATAGAAATGATAACCTACAATGGAAGTGATGGCCCCCTACTCAACCCATATATGGACTGAATGATGGACGGACAGACAAGCCTCCATTTTGAAAATGGCTGACCGAGCTCATCCACAGCCCTTTCAAGTGTTATCAAAGTATTTGTTGCTCTGTTCACAGGGTTTCCCAGGATTTCCTGGAATGTTGGGGCAGAAAGTAAGTACCTATAAGTAATGAAACACAGGCCTCAGTAAAAAAAAAAGTATCAGGCCCTCCAAGCAAAACAGACAGAGCTTCTACTCTGGGGCTTGTGTTCATCAAGCGGGGAGAGTGGATTTAACTGGGAAACGTTCTGGTCCTGGGGAGCAAGCTGCCTTACCTACTGAGGTGGTGCAGCAGGGTGGTCTCTCCAGCTCAACAGGAGAACAAACCACTCTATCTGAGCAGAGACAGCACCTTCTTTGCTTTTCCTGCTTCTCAGAGGGACATGGTGATGTTAAAAACAGGAACATCTGTGACCAGGAACTCAGATCTGAGCTACAATGGTCAAGGCGTCTCTCAAACCACAGGCCCCAGGCCTCTGGCTTCATGTCACTGCTGCCTAAACTCCTGACACAATCTTAACGGTGGAGCGCATGCTCCCAGACGTGTGCAGAATTATTCTAACTGGATGACAGCTATCATTTTTTGGTGGTTAAATTTTGAATTTCAGTTTTAAATTAAAACAGTGAAATATTTAGTGGGTCTCTTGCTAAGGACAAGGCCTAATTAAAAAACAGCCTGTTTTAGGTAAATTAAAGTATTCAGTAAAGAATAGAATGATATGCAGATATAACAAAAAGTATAAAAGTAGCAACTGATTGGCAGGTTCTTAGAAACTTTTACTTAGGGTTAAGGTCTTGGGGGAAAGGACGAAGTCACAATGAGGAGAGAATAAAGAGAAAATGCATAAATGACCATGCAGAACAATGCCTAAGCCAGTGTCATAGTGCTGGTGCTTCGAAATCAAGGCATTGACACTGGAAAATATTTTAACTTAGGTCTCAGACTGTAAGTTTTTCAAACATGCGAAGGGATGCTTTTTCGAATTTTTTAATTTTTAAAGTTCACCTTAAGGTATTATTTTTCAAACTTAAATTTTTATCTTACTGCATCTGATCACTAGAGCATGTTTAAATATTTCCAGTCATTATACATTAATTTACTATGATTTATCATACCTTCAGCCGTTGGAAACTCTTTCTGCCTCCTAGAGAAAGTAATGCATTTTAAAAAATAGATTAATCATAGGCAAATCTGTTAGGGATGGTGGCACATCCCTGTAATCCCACCATGCAGGGGACTGAGGCAAGGGGGTTGCTGCAAGTTCAAAGCCAGCCTGAATTCTATAGAAACAGGGAGACCCCTCTTTCAAAAAACAAAACAAAATGAAGTGAAACATTATATAAACAAGTTAAAAGAGAAAAATAATTTTATTTTAAAACATTTAAGCTATCTGGCAGTGCTGGTGCACACACCTATAATCCCAGCACTCAACGTTAGCCTGAACTACAGAGTGAGACTGTGTCTCAAAAAACAAAACAAGGGCTGGGGATTTAGCTCAGCGGCACAGTGCCTGCCTGGCAAGCGCAAGGTTGTGAGTTCAATTCCCGGTACCGGGGAAAAACAAAAACAAAAACAAAAAAACAAAATAAAAATAAAAACAAGAAACCATTTAGGGTGGGTCTTTATTCAGTGCAACAGTGAACCTCAGAGAACCATAATTTACTGTAAAACAAGATACGATGGTTTCTCTGGCCTCTGCACCATTTTGTAGGCTTAGCATCCAAAGTGTTTCTTCTCCCTTTCACGGTATGCTGTATGAAGAGGCGCTGATATGATAATCATAATGAGGTCTTAGGAGAGAAATTAGATCAAGAAATTACTGGCCGCTCCCAGTTGATAAAGGGAAGGGCCACACTTCCTTCTGACAATCTCCTTAAAAAATTTATATTGTTTATGCTGCTGTTTTCTCTTAGCCAAATAAGGCCGCCCCTGGCCTCTCTAAACGCCAAGGGGAAATTGTGCAAACGTCTCCATGGCAACAAAGAATCCAGCCAGTCCCCTCACACTCTCACCACTAGGAATGCTAAAGGACACCACGAGCTGGCGAGAAAGCATAGACTTAAGAACCATTCTTGGTGAAGCAAGATATTAGTGCCTTGAGTGGGGATGAGTTCATGACGATGGCTGAGCTGACAGATCACTCAGAGCTTATGCTTGATCCTTACCGCATACCTGCATTCTCCGGAATTTCACATTGCATCACCCCGCCTCTGAGCACCGTGTGGCAGGAACCGGGGTGTCCACTGTTGTCTGTGAGTGCCAGGGCAGCTCTTCACGGACACAAGCTGCTGACTAACAGAAAATCTCATGGTTGGAGCTGCGAAACTTATCTTGTTGGAGGTGTACTTGGGGCTGTAGGGGAATCACAGGAGGCAGGAATGACGTGCTCTACGACGTCATGGTCCCAAAAAAGCAGGAATCCTTCAGACTTGCTCTAAAGGCCCAGAATCCTAGAGGGGCATGGGGAAGAAATGACAGTATGATGGAGAAATGAGTTTTCCAAAATGTTGGCACTGAACTGTGAAATTCTGTGGCAAGCGCCTTGGTTCTGATAGTTCAATATAAAGTTATTTTCAATTGGGGATATTGTTTATATTATGCCATGCCTTTTGCAATAATAATATTGAATAGTTGAACACATGTTCGAAACATCTCTCCGTACAAAGAAAAAGTTTTCATCTAAATCAGTGGAAGTGAGCTGGAACTCAAAGCAATATTCACTGAAGAGAAATATATACTCGGAATGAAGTCCATTTACATGGGCACAAGCTTCCCAAAGGTGACAGCTGGCAAAGCAACATCCAATCATTAAAAACCCATAGATTTAAGTTTGTGTTTAACAACAAAACATAACCAAGCACAACATAAAAACTTCAACTAAAAGAGGATTTTCCCGTTAGTAGTATCCCACATGTGAGTGAAATACAGGAACCTGCATTTTGGCTATTCTGGGTGTTGTCTCCAATGTCACCACTAAAATATCTATTGCTGCACTGCTGTCTCTTTCAGGTAATAAGCAACCTGCTCAGGGACACTTCCCTTTCCTTAAAAGATAAGACTGTCTTTCATGTGACCTCATCAGTCTCGCGAGCTTCCGGGCAATCCCCTGGAAGAGACTCAGAAGGATCATGAGGCTGCCCTCGTGGGTGGTGATTGCGTAGACCTGGGTGGCCCAGCCCACCCTACACGCCTCGATTCCTTGCTTGCTTCTCTTTCTTCTTTCCAGGGTGAAATGGGCCCAAAGGGTGAACCTGGGATAGCAGGACATCGAGGACCCACAGGAAGACCAGGAAAACGAGGAAAGCAGGTGAGGGTCCCAGGGCTTAGGGCACAGCCTCCTGACCGGGGGGCATAAAGAGAGAAGGTCTGTAGGGTCAGTCAGAGATGGTGCGTAGCCCTAGACTCCAGCATGCTCTGGGCTGGAAGACAGAAGCAGCACTACTCTCAGGAGCTCCTGGCTTCTCCACACTCGCCATAGTTCCACACAGATGGGTAGGATGCTCCATACGAGCTGTGCCACAAGCAAGAGTGGGTCTTTGGTTCATAGGGAAAAGTCTACTTTAACCAAAGCAACCGGGAATGGAAGGAGACTACGACCACTTACCCAGCAAACGTCCCTTTGCCGCAGTGTCCCATACACAGTGAGTTTCAGAGCACAGCCCAGACAGCTCCCTGCTGTCGAATGTTCTTTGGGCACTCAGTGACAGGGGACCCCAAACTGTAAATGACCCTTTTTATTGGGCTTATTGAAGACCTAGGGAAATTGCTCACTTTGAGCTTTCCTGATCAGTAGCCTCCTGCGTTAAGCGACGTGAAGGAAAAGGGAAGAGGAAGGTGCATTTGCCCAAGCAGCTCTGGAACTTTCCTCAGTGCTTCAGAGAATTTCCCAGGCTTTTCCGCAATGGCTGGGCACTCCTGAGAGGAGCCCCTCCCTTTTTTGTCAATTTATGGGCTTTTTGTTTCAAAAAGACATTTTAAATTCAGCCATATTTATTTTTTTAAATGTTTATTGAAAAGCAACTATACTTCCACTTCACAGGAACAAAAACAAAACACATCAGTTACAAGAGTATTAAAATATACAGCAGTGATAAATCTCATCACAAAATTTACAAGACTTATATATAGAAGACTAGAAAACATTACAGAGAAATTAAACATTTTAAGAAGCATTTTAAGGTGAAACATTTGAAGATAACGATTCTCTATGAAAATCCAAAGAACTTGAAATCAATTTTGAAAAGGGAGAAAAACTTTGGAAGGCTAACATGACATTATTTCCAGAATTAATATACATTTATAATATCTTATTTACTCTTTCAGCTTCTCACTCTAAGGAAACAATACAATATTTGTACATATGAGTCTGATACTTCACTTATAAGTACGGACTTGAGTTAGATCCATTTAGCTACAAAAGTCTTCAGTTTATCCTTTTTTGTACATGAATAATATTCTACTGTATTAAAAAAACAACAACACACATCTCTTTTGGGTTGTTTCCAAGATTTTGCTATTACAAATTGTGCTGCTATAGATGTGGCTGCACGTATATCACTGTGGTATGATTTTTTTTTTTTTTGTCTTTTTGAGACAGGGTCTCACTATATAGTTCAGGCTGGCCTTGAGCTCACTTTGTAATCCAGGCTGGTCTTGAACTCACAACGATCCTCCTGCCTCAACCTCCCAACTGCTGGGACTATAGACATGCGCCACCACACCCGGCTAATGTTTTCAATTCATCTGGGAAAATACCCAGAAGAGGAATGGCTGGGTCAAATGGGACCACTAATCCTAGTTCTCTGAGAATTCTCCACACTGATTTCCACAGTGGTTGCACCAGTCTACACTTCCACCAACAGTGGAGAAGGGTTCCTTTTTCCCCACACCCCTGCCAGCATTTGTTGTTGGCTGATTTCTTGATAATAGCCATTCTTTCTGGGGTGAGAATTTCTTACTAATAACCATTCTTTCTGGGGTGGAATCTCAGTGTTGTTTTAATTTCCATCTTTCGAATGGCCAGTGATATTGAACATTTCTTCATGTATTTGTTTGCTGTTTGTATTTCTTCATCTGAGAAGTATGTATTCATCTCAGATGCCCATTTTTGGATTGGATCTCTAAGTTTGAGAGGTTAACTCTATTTAAATAATTTTAATTTTTAAAATTGACCTATTGGGTATGAATACATACAGTACTTGTTTTTTCATGATAGTGCCTTTAAATGTTAGAAGAAAAATGTTTTGAAGGTATATATTAAAATATTTGTGTTTATTTTATTTTTAATTGACAATTATATATTTGGAAGTACACCGTGATATATATATATATATATATATATATATATATATATTTGAATGATCATGTCAGGTTAATTAACATACCTGTCACCTCACATATTAATTATTTCTGGTAAGAACATATAAAATCCATTTTAAAAAAAATTAAAATCATTCACTTTGTCAGCTTTTTACTTCTCTTTCCACTATAAATACATACACTATCACAAAAAACTTACAAAATTCAGAAAACAGTAAGAGAAAGCATCTAAAGACTCAACACTCAAGCATAAGTACTGTTGGTCGTTATGGCACAATCTGGTATATTTCCTTCCAGAATTACTTTTTTTTATATTCTAAGCTGTTTCTTTATTTATATCCAATATATAGTTATCTTGTCCTTAATTTTTTAGTTAAAATCACAATATGCAGTTGTTCTTGCTGCTATAGATATTAACTAATGTTTGAGAACATCTTTTTAAAATATCTGCATCATGTTTTAGAAAGTGAGTAACAGATTGCTTGGATAAGAGAGATCTGACCAGACTGTATACAATGGTGAAAGGTGAACATCCTGGGTGCAAAGCTTTTCCCATTCTTCTAGTGACTTCTTTGGGCCAGGCCCTGTATAGACATGCCCACTACACATGATTTGCCAACTTCAGCTTACAGCAAAACCGTGAGGATATTGATTGAATACAGATTTCCACAGCAGATGCAGTTGTTATAGTCCCAAGTTTGCCATGCATCACTGCCAATGCATAAGTTTACTTCCCCAAGACTATGACACAATTGGCCTGAAACACGCCTTCAGCAGGATTTTTGTTGTGTTGTGTTTTATAAGCTACCATGTTATTCTACTGTGCAGCCAGGGTTTGGAGCTATGGTAACACTATGAAGCTAATCACAGGTTTTTTGGCTTTTTTTTTTTTTGAGACAGGGTCTTACTATGCAGTTCAGGCTGGCCTTGAGCTCACTTTGTAGCCCAGGCTGGTCTCAAACTCACAACGATCCTCCTGCCTCAGGCTCCCAACTGCTGGGATTACAGTCATGCACCACCATGCCCGGTTTAATCCGTCTTTGTTTGTTTCCAGTACTGGGAATCAAACTCATGACCTTGGGTTTGCTAGGCAGGCGATGGGCCGCTGAGCTAAATCCCCAGCCCCTTTAATCACAGTCTTTTGAGAGTAAATTTAGGAATGACAGAGGCTCCAATGGCTAATTCGGGTCTCACAATAACTTTTGAAATGACAAAATTCCAGTCTAATTTTCAAAGTTCTACAATAGGTGATAAGTTCAGAGCTTCTCAGTGCTACCACGACACCAATTTCTGGAAAGGTAGGCTTGGAAAAAGGAGAGGAAATATTTTATCATGTTCTCCCCTGATGATGGTTTACATCCAGAATATTGTATGTTTCGGGGTTCAAGAAGCCTGTTCGTGAGTGAGAGTCCAGCCCAGGGGTGAAGTGCTTGTCTAGCGTGTGCAGAGTCTTGGGTTCCATCCCGGTACAAGGCAAAAAGCAAAGAAAAAGGCTGTTGGCTTCCGCCCTCTACTTTTTTCTGACAATGTCTGTCTGTTCCTGGGACAGCCAAAGCCAGGAAGCCTATTTTCTGACTCTGCTGACATTGATTTCACTGTAGTAAAATCTACACCAAAACCACATCTTCGAGCTCAGAGCAGCTGAGGGAATGAGCTCATCTTTCCTACAAGATGTTATAAACAACCTGAGTGTGCGCCCGGCCCTCACCCTCAGCAGATACTTGAGTTGTTAGCTTTGGAAGCCTACCACGGTGCTTTATTTTTGTCACGAATTCATTTCCTAGTGTAGGGTCATATATCCAGTGCTTGTTGAGCCTGTGGTACTAACAGTATCTGGAGGTTATTGCAAGTCAATCCAAAACCAGAAACTAAAAATTCAGAAGGGATTTCACACAAGAATTTCCAGATGAGAAGGACTTTAGAAACCATTTAATCCAATCTCCTCAGTTTTTCACAAGGAAACTGAGGGCCAGGGAGGTGGAGCTGCAAGGGTGCCGGGGTCAGCCTTTGGAGTGTGGTGACCAGCTTTTCCTCTTTCCTCTCCTGCTACCTCCTGTTTTGGGACTTGCCTTTGAGGGACCCAGGGAAGCATCTGTTGTCTTTTTCATAAAAACTTTCAGTTAAGGAGACAAAACCACCTCCCACAGAGAGATCTTCCAACTTCGTGGCAAATAAGAAATAAAGAATGCTTTTCCTGGAGCGTACTGCCTAGTGCGTCCTACCCATAGAGACAGGACTCTTCTGAGCAGATGACCCACAGGGAAGATTCCGTTACTGCTGAGTATCAGAATCAAGGACCATTTCCAGCTTGGTCAAGCTGTGTACTTCCTGTGCTCAGAACCAGCTGAGCTGGCTGTCAGAAAAATCAGGGTTAGCTGTGCCTATATTAAGCTGCTGTGACTTCCTGTGCTGTTCTGGGATCCATCTTGGTTACCTCCTGAAATGCTTCAGCTTAAGCTGGGCTTAACAACGCCCTCCGTAAGGATGGAATTGGAAACAAACTGACCTCATGGGTTCCATAGTAAGAATTTTAAAACGCTTTAGGTGTTATCGAGAGGGTCCCCATGACCATGCTGACCAGGCAGCAGGTCACATGTCACCTTTCTGGCTGGAAAGAGTCTCTAGTGTGCCTGCTTCTCAGACTTAGGGAAGATTGTGTTTCATCAGGTGGGCAAGCTTGCCAGGCACAGTGCGGTAAGGAGAGCCAGCCAAAGGTCAGTGGTCAACCGCTGTCCTGATTAGGCCTAGGGCAAGGGTAGTTAGTTAGCAAACTGCTCAGGGGAAAGCTGACAGCAGTGCACACCCGCGCTGTTCTCCGGGGTCACTCCTGAGGATCCCCGAGGGGAACTGAGAACCTGATTTGCTGCAGAAGCGCCCAGTGTAGGCAGCAAAAGGACTCGCCTAGGGGAACGTCTGTAGCCGTGTCAGCAGCTAGCCCAGGTCTTTACTTTTGTAATAAGAGAAATCAAAACTAAAGCACGAATTTATACAAAAACTGTTTTAACTGGGAAATTAGAGGGAAGATAAGAAAGGGCTCCAGCTTAGGGACACTAAGCTCTGATACAGGGGTTCACACTGGCCCACCCACAAAAGCAGGCCAGCTTTTAAGCTTAGCTAGTGGGCTGGGCTCTGGTCGATCATTATCTCAGTCCCAGGGTCACAGATCTGGAATCTTTATGGCTGGGAGGTGGTTTCATTCCCAGGTGACTGAAAGTTTAGAACAAGCAGGTTTAAGACAAAGACTGGAGAAACCGCAGTTGGATGTCCCTGGAAATGGCCCGTCCCGGTTCTTCAACCTTCAGTCTTGAAGAGGGTGATATTCTGTAAATTCTGTAATCAACCTTGTTTTGCCAGTTTTCAGAGAGGCACTTCCTAAAAGATTAACGTACCTGGGGCTGGGGATTTAGCTCAGAGGCAAAAGCGCCTGCCTGGCAAGCGCAAGGTCGTGAGTTCGGTTCCCGGTACCAGAGAAAAAAACAACAAAAAAAAAGATTAACGTACCTATATGTAGCCCTGAGAAGAGACTGGATCCAAATTGTACAGTAACAAAGGATATGAAACGGAAATCAAACTTTGTTTGGTTTTTAGTTACCTATCGGGCATCTGCAGGCCCAAGTGCAGAGTCAAAGTTTGTGGCAAAAATGGCTTTGAAGTCTCGGGGTACCCCAGGAGGAGACCCAAATCAGGTTTTTAAGGAGCAGCAGGCAGGGGCCCAGGATTCTCCTTGTTTTCTCATCCCTGTAGCTACCCACACTTTTACTATTCTTGTACGAATAAAACAGGCTGTGTGAATCACGTAGGTCTCTGTTTACTCCTTAAGTGAATGTCTCTATTTAGTTTGTTTTGAGACCCTGGGGTTGTCTCGACCCCTACCAATAGTTTGGACTTTATATGGGCCCTGGGCCTTAACCACAAGCTTGTGTGGATCTTATCTGTAGCTAAGGATCAAGTGAAGAACAACCACATCTTCTTTGCTTTCCAAGTAGCCCCTCTGCTGCCTGTCTCCAGCCTGCTAATGACTGACTTTCTGCCTATCATTATGACTACAAAGGCTGTAGCGTGCCTTTATTTTAAAAATCAGGTCTTCTTTCACTGTGTGAAAGAAATGAAACCAGACCAGTTGCTGTGACAGTCACCTTGCTCCACATTGCCCTTTGTCCTGTGCAAGCCACATTTTCAGGTCTTTGTTAGCCTCACAACAGACCTATGTGGGAGTATACTTCCTGGACCCACTTCACAGAAGACAAAACTGAGGCACAAAGCAATGACAATGAGTTATGCAAAGTCTCTGGTCAAGGGGAAATCTCTTGCTTTATAGATCGACAGACCTCCCACTGCTTTGTGCTTCTTTCTCCTCCCTCTTTTGATCAGGTGGCGGGGGGCACGGTAGATTCCAGCCCACAGGAAGCACGTGTCTCAGGGGGGACATTGATGAAATGGCCCCTCAAATAATCTCTATACTGCCACCTGGGATAAATGCTGTAAGGAAAAGCTCCAAGTGAGGGCACCCGGTGCCAGGGAGAAGAACCCACTCAGGCTGGGGAGGTCAAGAAGTTCTTTGCCGCAAGCACCTTTGAGCTGGGAGCTGAAGGCAGAGGGAAGGAAAGGAAAATGGCCTGGAAAGAAGACTTTTGAGAAGATAGATCCGAGTTTAGTGTTCTTGAAGATCCAAAACCCGTACAACACTCCAGAGAGACAGGGAGACCTGGCCAAGGCCAGCTTTCTAGGCGGAGTAAGGAGCTGGGTTTTGATCCAGAGAGCAACAGGAGTGCAGTGACTGGAGACAGCTCTTGGGGTGAAATAAAAATAGTCTTGACAAGTGGGAAGGAAGCCTGAATTCTAGGCTGGCTCTGTCCCCTCCATGCTAGAGAACTCACCTGAATCTCTGCGCTCTTCTGGAGCTGTGCTCCCTAACTCATGCCAGGGGAGCTGGTGAACGGATTCTGTTTGATGGCATGTTTCTAGGACAGAGCAAAAACGAAGGCCTGCAAACTTGGCACCATCGCTATTTCAAACGTCACGTGCCCTGAGCCTTTTAAGAGCTTGGGTCACAACTTCTGGGTCTGCATACGCCCTGAGCTTTGGCTCCTAAGTGCTGAGTTGTTCCTGATTTAGAGACCAGTGGGGAAGGAAGTTGGCTGGGTCATGGTCTCATAACTGGCTCTGCCTTTCTTTCCATCAGGGGCAGAAGGGAGATAGTGGAGTTGTGGGCCCACCTGGCAAGCCTGGGCCTTCTGGCCAACCTGGCCGTCCAGGCCCTCCGGGACCCCCAGGCCCCCCATCTGCAGGTAAGAGCTAAACTGCTTCATTTGATCTACAGGGGCGCCCTCCTGGCCAGCTGCCCTAGAGAGGGGATGAGGAGGCACCAGCAGAGCTTTGCTTTATGTGTCAGTTAGAAACGGCCAGAGGCGCTTTACTATCTTTATAATTTCTATACAGATTGGCTCATTCACCTTCTACATAAGCAATAGGTAATGTAATGTGAAAGAGTTCTACTTACTTGCTTTGAAGATAGGGAAGAATTTCTAATAAGAAATCAAAGGTCTATGGTTGAGGAGGGCATGGGTACATGACTACCTTGTTTGACCTTTTGAAATCTGATTAGCTATGTCCTTTCCTTTGTTCCCTTGCACGGCCTTTCAGACAGCATCTCTGGGTAAAAAAAAAACAACTGCTGACTGTACAAGATTCTTTTTTTGTCCTTAGTTTATAAAAGGAATCAAACTAATTTTTATTCCAACTTGTTTCTTTAAAATAAAAAGACATTTTAAAATCCACCACACACTTTTCCCCATGTTTCTGGGAACGTGCTTGTAGCCACAATACGGGCAGACAAGAAATATATTTTGTTAGATTCTTTAAACCCAATTGAAGTGGGCTGTGAGATCCCAGCCTGTCGGGATGCCAGGAACGTTCAGTCTTAGGCATTACTGGGGTTCTCCTACTTCTCCAACTGCGGCAAAAGGAGTGGGTGATGATCCTGAGGAGTTACAGCAGAAATATAGCAGAGGAGGTTCCTCCAGCCTCGCTCTTCCCTTCACTCTGGAACAGCTGCTTTCTGAGTCAGTGGCCGTGGATGCCCATTCACTGTTCCTCCACGCTATGCCTGAGTATCAGAACACGTGCAAGTAAGCCAGGCGTGGTGGCGCACGTCTGTAATCCCAGCACTCGGGAGGCTGAGGCAGGAGGATTGCTGCGAGTTCGAGACCAGCCTGGGCTACAAAGTGAGCTCAAGGCCAGCCTGAACTGCATAGCGAGACCCTGTCTCAAAAAAGACCAAAAACAGACAAACAAACAAACAAACAAGAACATGTGCCAGGCTGGGAGCCCTGGCCTTTGCGGCTCCACTCACCAAGGGGCACTCACAACCATTCATTCTGAGCCATGGTCTCTTGCCCAGGATACATCGCTTCTCTGCCTTTAGGCTAAGATCATGGGCAGTACCTTCCCCATGATACAGGCCCACATCCCCACTCTGTCTAGGGAAATCCCTTTGCTTCCACCCTCTACCTCTTTCCAGGCTGTTCAGGGACCTGGATTTGAGACGCAGCCCAGGCCATGTGCCCACGGCCCATAATCTGCTTCTGTGAGCGGCCAGGTGACCTAGTTGGTCCCTTCACCCAGTCCTCATCCTCTTTGGTGCTGGCACACAAAGTTTTCCAGGGAGTCCCATGACCATGAGCTGTCAACCTCAGAAACTGAAAAGTGTGGGTTTCAGGGTCATTGGCAAACAGGCTTATCCGCCCTTGTAAAGGCTCCCAGCACCTGACTTGAACTCTCTTTCCCTCCTGGGCTCTGGGGTGGAATGAGAAGGCCAGGCCCTGGGATCAGCAGCAGTGGCTCAGAAGCCTGCTGCTTTGTCCTGCCAGCCTGTGGTCTATTGCACCCCTTCCCTTTAGCAAGCTCAGCAGAGTCCAGGGTCCCCTCCCTGACCTCTGCCTCCTTCTCTTCCAGCCCAGAATGCCCATCTCTCTTTCCCTCCACTGTCCCACCCTCTGCCAGACCCCAGCCGACTGGCATCTGCCCTCCAGCAGACACCGAGCTCTCTGCCAAGCTGGAACATTATCCTGTGGTCTCTCTGGGTCCCTGTGACCTGAGATGACTTCCGTCTCGCCCCGTACACACTAAAGTCTCCGCTTCTTCCAAGCCCTCTTTTCAATAAGTCTCTGCGGTCAGGTCTCCCTCTCTCGAGCCCCGTCACACAGCGCCTTTGCATTGCGGCCTGCGCTGGGCACTGCTTCCTGCAGATGTGTTTCACCTTCCTGCCAGGCGGTGGGGCCCCCGAGGACGAGGTCTGTGACTGAGTCAGCTTCACACCCTCCATGGCACCTGGTGACTGAGAAGGGCAGGGCTGGCCCTGCAGGTGCTCACAGCCTGTCCCAGCGGCCAAGCAGGATGCGGCTCTTCTCTTTGAGCCAATGTCCCCTCCTCTCGCCTTCCTTTGAGTAACTTCCTGTCTGAAGAGCCTCCCAGAGAGAGGGGCTGCAGAGGGGAAGGAGCAAAGCTGGGGCGATAATATTGTTCTTTGTAAAAGTTTGTGGGGGTCGCGGGCAGAGAAAGGGGAAGGGAGGAGTTTCCAACTGGATAACCATCCGCGGTTGGTGAGGCCCCTGCAGGATCCTGAGGTTACCTTTGAGAAAAAGCCCTGAGCCTGCTCTTGGGAAGAACCCATGCACCTACACCCAAAACTCTGAAGCCCTTCTCCAAAGCCTGGAGTCCCATGAACCGCATGGTGACCTCCCCCGCCCAGTCCAGTCCTTGCTTTATGGATAAGAACCTGGAGCCTCAGAGAGAGTGACTTCCACAAGATCGCAGAGCTACCTCGGCCCAGAGTCGGTCTGTGCCACGCAGACTCTGAAGACTGTTGCGCTGGCCTCTCTACCTTCTCCAGAGTAACAAGGTTGAGGTGGGGGCTCAGGTTGCTGTGTCCTTCAGGGCAGCCTGGCAGGAAGCAGGCAGGGGTGATGGATGCCCTCTGACAGCTGGGAGGAAGTGGCAGGGAAACTGCCATGGTGGCGTTAGGCTCTGTGCCATGTCCTGTCAGGAGGCTCCCTGGGGTTCTGGGGCCCAGCACCGTGAGGCCAGATGATGCTGGGGAGGTTGGAGAAGGTGGGAGATTTTTAGCTGTCAGGGAGAGAGGGGCTAGACGTTGTGGGGAGACAAAGGCAAAATACCTTTAGGATGTGACTTGCAATAATCAAGTTACAAATGTAACTGAGTCCTTCCTGCACCCAGGCAGGTGTAAGCGAATCAGTGTGGACCTGGGAATTGCCGACTTCCTGAGAGCACCGACATTCTGGGAGTTTGTCTTTTGGACGGCACATTATTAGGTCAGACATGAGTTCAAGTGTCAGCCTCACCACAAGTTAGCTGGATGACTGGAAAAATTCCTGGTTCTCTGAGGCCCTGGTTCTGGAGGAGTCACCGGGGCCACAGGGCCTTCAGAAGGCTGCACCACTGCCACCTCAGCCACTGGCCACAGAGCTTCCCCACTTCATTTCCCCAAGGGCTTAACTACCCAGAGAGCCCCGAGCTGATGGACTCTCCGTCTCTCTGGGCCCTTCTGGAAATATCAGAGCACAAGCCTGGAGCTCTTTGCACAGAATTACATTCATATTTCTTGTTAGCTCGGGCAACCATAAATTGGCGTAAGAAGCTGGCAGCCTCCTTTCTCGTGCTGTCAGAATTCTGATCTTGAACAGATCTGCCAGCCAGCCCAGGGCTGGGTGGGGGCTCAGGGAGTTGGGATCTTTCCGCCCGCTGCTGCCTTGTGGTCCCAACCAGACTTCTGCCTTGAAGTCATTTTATTTCCTGCCCTTCTGAGCATCTACACACTGGCTTCCCAGTTCCTGACTGCCCTACACATTGCCGGAAACCAATGACTGGCTGCTCTCCAGCTCCCCTTGCCTTTCCCAAGAGGGTTGCATCTTCATTCCTGTTCAGTCCTGTCTTGGCTCCTGTTTCCTCTCTGCCTTTCAATAGATCTTGCTCTAGCACTTTTCTGCCAGCCAGAGTGTGACTTCCAGGGTTTCCTCTCCACTTAGTCTGCATTCATTCATTCCTTCATTCATCAAACATGCGCTATGCTCCACCTCTTTGTCAAGCCCTGGTGGATGGAAATAGTCACAGCCCTGCTGTCTTGTGGAGCTTACATTCTACTAGAGAAGACACATAATCTTACACGTATGGAATCCCAGAGAGAAGCGCTGTGAAGAGGGCCAGGGATATAGCTCAGTAGCACAAGCACCTGCCCGACAAGCGCAAGGTCCTGAGTTCGATTCCTGACACACACACAAAAAAGAAGAAGTGCTGTGAAGAATAGACATAAGGAAGAAACTGGGCCTTTAAAAGTCGAGGTAAGCCCAGGCACAGTGGTTGTTTATCTGTACCCCTAGGTACTCATGAGGCTGAGGCAGGAGGATCACTTGAAACCAGCAGTATGAGACCAGCCTGTGCAACATAATGAGATATTGTCTCAAAAAAATAAAAATAAACAAAAGTCAAGGTGACAGCTATGACCCTAAAAATTCCCCCACATTGCTAGAGAGTAAATTTCCTGATGATATCTTTTCAGGATATGTCCTGACTTTTCTCAGTGTCCATGAAGACTAAGTAGCTGAGCATTTATAAATGTCCCACTTCCTTTCTGGAGAAATAGAAGAAGCCCACATGCAGAGATTCTTTAAATATCTATATATCTACATCTATCTATAGCTATAATAATTAAAAACAATGAAAGTTACTCTTTAGCAATGTGTTCTTCTGCAAGAATCCCTTGTTAATGGTCTGAACAAATATGGCATTGCTTTTCTCTAACAAGGAAATCCAAGAGGAAGTATACCTGGCTCTGGTCCCGCCCCCAAATCACAAGTCCTAGTTCCCATGAGCCCCTTGTCTTTCCTGCACCACTGGCTTCTTTCTCACGTTTATTACTTCACTATCGCAAGATGGCTGCCGCAGCACCAGGTATTTTGTCTGTCCGCAAGGCAAGAATGAAGGGAAAACTGTATTTCTTACTAGCTATTTCTCCCCACGTCTTGGATCAAAATCATCTCTTTGGACTTCTCCCTCAGGCCTACCCTGAAATGCTATAGGCTTTAACCTCCTTTCTGTTACACAAGTTGCTTATACCTCCCCAGACTGTGTGATTTTCTCTTCCTTAGTTCTAGTGACAGTGTTCTGTTGCTTTCTAGGACAACTTGTAATGGGACTCAAAGGGGAAAGAGGATTTCCCGGGCCTCCAGGAAGATGTCTCTGTGGATCCCCTATGAATGTGAATAACCCTTCCTCCGGGGAAGCCGTGTACGGGCCCAGTTCCCCGAGAGTTCCTGTGGTGAGGCTCTTCTGAGAAAAGTCTGGGTGGCTGTCCATGAGGACCTCCTTCCTGGTCCTGTCAGGACTTTGGAAACTCCTTGTAGTAAAGCTTACTTTCCCCCATTACACTGGGCACACGCTCACCATAGGGAACTGCAACACAGAGGGAAATCCAATTGTCCATCTAGTTATGGGTTTGCTTTTTAGTATTTCCTTTGCCTTTTTTTAAAGAATAACTTTGATATGGTTCAGATTATAGTGTATAAAAATGTGGTCTTCTAGTTGTCTCTATTGAAATCCTGTCATGTTTCTGTGCTCTGTAAATATCATTCTGAAGTTTTTCTTATAGAAAATTTCAAATAAATATAAAAGAATAAATAATGAAACAAACCCCAGACACACTGAACCCAGCTTTAACAATGATTAACTCTCATTTAATCCCATTTCCCTCTTTTTTCTCTATGCCTACTCTACGGCCTGCCCTCCCTGGGGTTATTTTGAAGTAAACTGTGGACATCATCAGAAACATCATTGAAGTGGATACACGCTCATCCGTCCGCCATGTAGCTTTGTTTAACCATGGTTTGTTTAACCCTGCTATTGGATATTTATATGATGTGCCCAAGCTTTTCACTGATGTAAAGAATACTGTAATGAACATCTCTGAGTATGATCATTTTGCTAAGAATCATTTCCAGATGCCAAGTCAGTTAACCATGTGAGTCTTGGGAACATCTAAGACATTTAAACGTGTTAAATCATGGCAGGTATTTTAATTTTAAACTCAGACATTAGGAATTGGATGGAGAAGGCGTGGGGATCAAGACGTTCCTCCCCATTCAAAATGATACATTGTACTAGGAAACCTCTCTCCCCACTGTGACCCAGCCCGGCACAGAGATTCTGTTTACTTTTCCTTTTTGCCCCACCCCTTGGAGGACAGTTGTCTGAAATCCTCACCAGTGTGTTCTCTGGCAGATTTTTGTAGTCAACAACCGGGAGGAGCTTGAGAGGCTGAACACCCAAAACGCCATTGCCTTCCGCAGAGACCAGAGATCTTTGTACTTCAAGGACAGTCTTGGCTGGCTCCCCATCCAGGTACCCCAAGGGAGGCTCCTTAGGACATCCCCTACAGCCGCCACTCGCACCCAGGAAAGGGATACATGCCAAAAAGAACAGGGAGGCCCCTCCAGCTCCGTCATGTGGGCCTGGACAGAGCTGGGCTCTCCCTCTCCATGGCAGGGCTGCGCGTCCTCCTTCTCGCTCTCTCTGAGCAGTTGTCCCTGTTCACATCCCTAAACAGAAGCTCCCCTCTGAGCCAAGGTCCCCAGTGGTCTCCGTGCCCCTGCACTGCGAGAATGCTATGTCCATCAGACCCAACATTCTGCCAAGTATAGAACTCTGGGCAGCGATGGGAAAGATGTTCCTTTCTACTCCCTGGAGGAAGCTAAGGGATGCCCCTCTCCCTGGCCACGGCCCTCGGGCCCAGAGCATCTGCCCCCAGTGCAGTGACCTCCCTGCCCTGCTGCCGCCTGGGCGTGACACCTCCCAGGTCAACCCTGTGTGTCTCTTTGGCCAGTTGACCCCTTTCTACCCGGTGGATTACACCGTAGACCAGCGTGGCACCTGTGGGGACGGGGTCCTGCAGCCCGGGGAGGAGTGTGACGACGGTAACCACGACGCGGGTGATGACTGCATCAGTGAGTGAGCCCTGCCGGAGGACCGAGCACAGAGCAGCCGCGGGGAGGGGCGGTCTAGGCAAGCTTGGACGCCAGCTGTGCTGGTTTGCAGCCGTGCTAGAGCCAGGGTGTGCCCAGACTGCCCTGGCGACTTCCTCCGTCATTTCAGGCCGAATGTCAGTTCTCCCACTGCCCGAGCACAGCAACCAGTGGCAGTCAAGGGTTTTGCCTCCAGGGAGGCCTTCCTTGCCCCAGGTCCTCTCTTTTTTCACAGTCTTCCCAGACCTTTTCTTTTCCTTTTCTTTTTTCTAGTACTGAGGTTTAAACCCAGGGCCTTCATATTGAGCTAAATCCCCAGCCGTTTCTTTCTTTTTTTTTTTTTTTGGTTTTTCTCCGGTACCGGGAACTGAACTCACGACCTTGCGCTTGCCAGGCAGGCACTTTGCCGCTAAGCTAAATCCCCAGCCCTTCCCCAGCCGTTTCTTATTCTTTATTTTGAGACAGGATCTCACTAAGTTGCTAAATTGCTCAGGCTGGGCTTGACTTTGCGATCCTCCTGCCTCAGCCTCCATATCCTCCTTCTTGATAAAACCCACTTTCCAAGCTCAAAGGAAATGTAGCGGGCTCTTACTTTGTCTGCGGGACTGAAGGACACCAGCAAGGTTGGGGGGCATAAATTTGAATCCAGACTTGCTTCCCCAGGTAACACGGCCAGCCCTGTGAAGGGAAGCTGGGCTGCCCAAGCTGCCTCCCGGCTTGCTGATGGTGCTGAGACACAAGGCAGTGTGGTGCTGGAACATTCACTTTGCTTTTTTTTTTTTAATCAAGTGACAAAAACAAGAGGGGAGGTAGAAAGCATGGCTTTCAAGCCAGAACATTGCAAATACAGGCTCTAGTTGCCACCAGGCTAAGAGGAGACGCTCCTTGCGGCCCTGAGTCTGTTTCCTTTGCTGTGAAACCGACCACTCAGATCTGAAGAGGTTCTGGTTGTCTGGATACGGTGAGGGCTCAACAGGTGCTGGGTGAGCCCATCTCTGACTTGGTTTGCCCAGAGTCAGCACCGAGCGTGTGGTCCTTGCCCTCGAGAAGCTCGGGGGGAGGGGACAGCGCAGAGAGATGAGGCTGTGACAGCGGTGCGTGCAGTGGGGGAGGGGCATACGGGGGCACAGCTGCTGCCAAACACCCTCAGTGTGGCTACGCTGCCCCCCAGTGACTCCCCAGATGCCAGGATGCCAACCCTTGGGTGCTGCCTCTTCCTGGGTTCCCTTCCCTCCGGCCCCTCTGCAGACTCTCGAATAGGAGCTCCCACAGTAGGAAGGATCTAATTGGACTCTCTATGCCCTGAAAAAATGAAGGGGGTATCTTCCTTGGGTGAGACTAGGGTCTTTGTGGAAGATCTTGTGGATCCCTAGGATACAGGCTGGGCCCCCCCTTGTTACCACCCTGGGACCTTCTCTGCTGGCAGGCGGGAGTCACCATGCACCTCCTTGGTGTCAAAGTCCCAGATGCCTACCTCTCACTTCACAGGAGCTACGGCTGTCCTGTGAGGGGTGGACTGGGTCCCTCTCTGTCCCACTTTCCCAGTCCTTATCTGGCTAGTAAGTGACGAGGCCAGCTAGAGTCCCACGCTCCTCGCTTTTGTTTTGTGGTGTGTCCGTGGGAGGACAGGCGAGGGGGTGCGGGTGTCAGAAGCCTGCTACAGGTCAGTTCTCAAGCGGTGCTCTGGGGAATCTTTGGACTGCACAGCCCTCATAGGCTGAGGCAAGCCTGTGCCACTCTGCCCTTCCCTGGCTGCCCTTCCTTGTGTCCCCTCAGGCTGTCATCGGGCCTATTGTGGAGATGGTCACCGGCATGTGGGCGTGGAGGACTGCGATGGCTCTGACTTTGGCTACCTGACATGCGAGACCTATCTACCTGGGTAAGGAAGGGGTCATGTGCTGTTACGACACCCATCCTGCACTCCTTTCCCTCTCAAATATTTCTGAGTGTCACATTCCTGGTACTTTCTAGCTATTGGGGTAGGGTGAAAAAAACACAGCACATCATCCCCGCTCTCAGGGAACTTTCTGCTCCATCCCTGTGTGTCTTCTCAATTGGAGCAGGTGCCCCTGAGGCTGAGCTGGGGCAGACACAGCTGCCGCCTCTGTCCTGGGGCACAACAGAGCTCCCAGTCAGCCAGCAGGTAATCCCAGTGGTTACCATGGCCATATCCTTCTCCTGGCTGCGGTCTGGGAGGGAAGCCCCGTGGAGGGGAGTGGTGTCAGAGCAGTCCAAAGAATCTGTGCGTCTGCACAACCTGAATTCCCTGGAATATGCTCTCCACGCCTCAGCCAAGCCTGTGGGCCTGAGTGAGATTAGACCAGCATGAATATCTAGTTCTCCTGGCTCATGACCCTCCCATGAAAACATTCCCTTCAAGGACTGACTCCTGTAGTTATTTCTAAGCATTCTCAAGGCGTTATCACTTTGCTCAGGACAAGTATGCTGGTGTCCTAGCCCCTCTGTTGCCATCTCCCAAGCCACCTCAGGGGCACTGGCCTCTTCAGGTGCTGATTCCATGTCTAGAATGTAGTTTTCTGGTACAAAAGAGTTCTGTGGTCCACTCATCCTTACAGACCTAGAGTTATAGAAAATCCTAGGAAAAACAGGAAGGTCGTTTCCTCCCACTCCGTGTCCTGCCCATTCCTGGGCTCCAGAGCAGATCTGCGGCCTCTTAGAGCACTGAGGTCCCCCAGGCCCTCAGCAAGGCTGGGGAATGGACACCAGGCCTGTCTCTCTAACATCTCCATTTTCTCTTCCGGTCCCCTTAACACCCGCCTGCCAAGCACAGGGCAAGCATATTCGACCAGGCTGGGGAAATGCACACCCGCAATCACCCTGAGCCTCCACGCTTGTGCGGACTTGGCCCAGCCCCAGTTACACACACGTGTGCATGCACTGCCCGCCCCCTGAGGTGCAGACGGCTCCCAACGGCAGCCGCCAGAGTCAGCAGGGCTGAGCGGCTTGCTGGCTCTGTGGGGGTGACTGAGTACAGACAGACACAAAGCACAGATCTGAGTAGGACCCAGGGCCTACGCACCGGCTCGCTCTGGTCAGGGAAGGCCCAGAAGCCTCCGAGAGATGCTTGTAAATGGGTGTATCATGTGTAAAGCTCTGTCTCGGAATTGGTTATCATCTGGGTTTACAGAGGTACAGGGTGCACTGTCCAGTATGACAGCCCCTGCTGGAGGTGGTGCCTCTAACTCAAAATGACTAGCATGGGATTGGAAGGTCAGTGCTCTAGTCACAGCAGCCATATTTCAAGAGCTCAACAGCCACCGCCGGCCGGTGGTGCCATTTGGGCTACACAGACACACAGCTTTTGTTCCCTCACTACCCACCACGGGCAGCCCCGGAAACCCTGTAGGCCTCGAGAAGGAGGACTGGCTCATACATGCTGAGCTAAGAACAGGGCTAACGCTCCTTCCCTCCTGGTCCCCCAGCTGGAGCTCAAGGCAAAAATCCCCAGAGCCTGACTCAACTGCCCCAAGCTCCACACCCCCAAGAAGAATGAGAAAACTGCATAGAGCCCTTGGTCCTTAGCGAGAGGGCAACGGTAGCTGCTGTTTGACGCAGTTTGATGGAGTCACCAGAGGTGGCCTTTTAGAATGTGGCCTTGCCCTCAGAGCTGGGCACAAGCTCACCTGCCCACGACCCATTCTTCCCCGACCCTTGTCTTTGCTCCCTCAGGTCCTATGGAGACTTGCGGTGCACCCCATACTGCTACATCGACTCCACACCCTGCCGCTACTTCACTTGAGGACGTGCGGAGCAGGTGGTGTAACCGACAGCCGCTTCCGCCCTCATCGAGCCGGCCTGGCTTCTCCTGGGCCAGTGTCTATCCACCAACCTTTGTGTGACAAAAAATGAGGACAAACTCTTGCTGCTAAGACGTGCTTTTGACGGTCTGACTGGAAGAATTTAGGACCACTGTATCCTGTCTTAATCCAAAGTACCAGGAAATCTTCCACATGCCCACCCTGGAAGCTGACTGTTCCCCATCTTCACCATCTGGCCAGATGTCCTTTTTCTTCTGGAATGTCGCTGGCACAGGCCGTGGACATGGCTTTGCACTGTTACATACACACCCTGCAGGGCTGTTTTCGTTTGCTCCGATCTCCCTGGGAAGCCAGGGGTACAGACTCCTCTGCCCGAGGGACCTCCAGACGCAGCCAATCTCACCAGGGCAGCCTGCGCTCAGGGCTCTGCAGGCCTGAAGACCACAAAGTAGAGAAGTGGACACATTCTCTCCACGAGGCTTACAGCTTGGACTTACTGAGGGACTTCCACTGGCCAGAGCCCTGCTAAGCCTCATGTGGATGTGGCTCCCCTAGGCGGAGACCCAACTGTGAAAAAGCACTGAGAAAGCCACGAGACCCACGCTCACCCGGGAGAGGGAGCAGGCACTGCTGGCTGGCGCTCTGTGTGAACGGCAACAGAGCGGTAGCCTCCCTCTCTTGATACTTCCCAAAGGGACAGCTCTTGTCCTTTTAAAGCCCTGGCACCATCTTAACTTTGCAGCTTGCTGTGCACTTTGACCTCTATCTGGCGAGTGCCCTTCATGGCCACTTCCTGTTCAGGGGACTCGCTCCCCAGGTCCACACCAGGTGAGCATGGGCGTCACCTCGTCCTTAGGGAGACACGGTCTTGGTTTGCCCTGTCTCAGGCCCCACTGCTGGGCACACTCTCGCAGAGATGGTTTCTGTCCTGAGCCCCCGTCTTGCTTCTTGCTGACTCCTGTAAGAGCCCTGTGACCTCCCCTCCTGCGTCTGTGTCTCACACAGCCTTGTCCTCACAGCTGTGTGCCTGAGCGCTTCCCTTGCCTACAGGGGTCTGTGAGCTGCCTTTCATCCCCACCCTTCCTGATCCGAGCTTGGCTCTATTTTGGAATGACATCTCCCGGGTCTTCCCGGGAGTTACTAGATGGAGGACCCCCCACCCCGACTCCTGGCTTTGTACAAAGCTGTTGAATGAGTCTTGGGAACTCAGCAGGCAGGAGCTTCTGGGGTGACCAGAAGGTGGCCCTTGTCTCCCAGAGGTCACGTCAGCCCGAGGGTGTCTTGAGAGGAAGGTGCATTGCTTAGCTCGTCCCCTTGGCCTCGAGGCAGTGTCCCAAGAACATGATGTTCCATGCCACTCCCACCGCCATGCTGGGATTTCTGGATGGGAAATCAAGAAATAAAGGCAATTCCTCACCATGGCTCTCTCTTCCTTGGGGACTTGGGACCAACATTTCAGTGTTGCTGGGCAGAGTAAGGGGACCAAATTCAGTTCTGCTTCCCGGATGCTGAAGAAGTTTCTGGAATGTGAACTCATTCCAACTCCCTCAGGGGCAAAGGAGGGAAGAGAGATCAAGAGCCCAGCGTCACAAAGCCCAATCTTCCTAGCCCAGTCCTGCCTCTAACCAGGTGTTAAGATCTTTAGGCTGCGATGGAGCTCTGTTTGTACCTTAGATAGACCTGGCCAAGAGGAGCCTGCACCTTGGAGGGCAGTACTCTGGTCCTCCTTAGGCCCAAGCCTCCCCAAGGCCGAGGAGTCTGCGGGACCAAGGGGAAATGGCCGCTGGGCATGCACACCTCTCCGAGAGAGCGTGTTCTCCAGGTTGCCAGGAAACCAAGCCAAGATGTCCTAAGCCTGCTTCCAAGGCCCACACCGCGCTCCTCCCCATGCCTAGCCTCTTGGGTGTAACCTGCATGCACCTCTAAGCCTGAGGGGCAGCCAGGGAGAAGTTGTTTGTAGGGATTACAGAAGGAGCTTGGACATGAGCTCGGAGTTAAAAAGAAGTGGGTCTGTTGGCACAGGGCTCTGTGGACCTCACCAAGCCCTTACATATGCTGGCCTCCTGTCTACTGTATGAAAGTGTATTGGCCATTTCAGCAAAGGTTCTGAAAGGTTCAGGACATGAACCGATTCAAATTTACATGTGTCAAGAATACACATAATAATAGGAACTCTGCCCATTTGAAATGGAAAAGTGAGCGGTCAAGGCGAACAGGTGACCCCTCCCACCCCCATCCTAGGCCTTCCTTGAAATGCTAACTGGTCATGTAGGGAGCAGTTTCCCCTGAGCTGAAGTAGGGGCCCTGCCTGGGCTAGGCCGACACGGAATAGATATCCAGGTGCTCGCCTGTGCCAGGGAACTGTTTCCTGAGGCAACGCTTAGCCAGAGGAAAGAGGAGGTGCTACGATATAAAGGGAAGACCATGTACCTGGGATGCAGGTACCTGAGTTCATACCTGGTTCATCACTTCCTGGAGCTGAGAGAGACTTTACCCAAGGGCTGGGCTTTCCTCCCACTCTAATAGCTTGCAAGTGTGGGCTCTGCCCTCTGATTCGGACAGGGGACTCCTTAGGAAGTGATGGATTTCTTCAGCTACTCCTGAGCGATTCATAAGAAGTGGGGGGAATATGGGTTATCCCAGCCTAGATACCCCCATGGGGTGATACATATTCACTGACATAATTTAAAAGTCCAGTAGTGGATGGAGATCAGGTATGGTTCAATCAAGGCACCACTTCCTTGGTCTGCTGTCAGGTATATTTGCATCTCTCTCTTTGGTTAGTTTGATCTTTAGCATGGTCATGAACTGCCTGGTGCAGTTTTAAGCTCCTATGTGCACCCCTACCCTCCAATATCCAGAGGAAGAGAGAACATCTATTTCATTGGCTCTCAAGCAATTCTTTTCCAGAAGCCCCTCAGTAAATCCTTCCTCAGGCCTCCTTGGCTTGTTTGGATCACATGTTTATTCTTGAATTGGCAGGACAACAGTATCTGTTGATTGAGTTAAGCTGGTTATAATATTACTCCTAGCCTATCTGCGGGGGATTCTCCAAAGCACAGAGGCTGCTGCACTGAACCCCAGGGGACAGGAGTGGGGGAACTGGTGCTGGGCACACACAGCGTGCATTACGGTGATTGCCTCTCCGGCTTTTGCCATAAGTAAGTGCTGAGCAACTTGGGGTAAACACCAGAGAAGACTGTTCATATCAGAAAATTCTTGATTCTGAAAGGCCTGGTCAGAGGCTGACTTTCACAGTGTTCTGCGGGTCAGGAAAGAAATGCTACAGCTTGTGAAAACAGCAGAACACAGTACTGGATTCCCACTTCTGGACTGGAAGCCTGGCTCTTCTCCTAACTCACTGATTACTTAGATTCTCTGGGTCTGTCTTTTATCTATAAACTGGGAATGATGTTACCTTATTCCAAGGTTGTAGTGAATTTTACTGATACTATGGTTAAAATTTCTGACATCAAGAAACCATTTCGGATGTGCTGGATTTTACCTGAGTTGTTATCACTGTTTGTAGCTCAGCCAAATCAGTCCCTTCTTTGGAGAACCAGCGTTATTTTGCTTTCCTCTGCAGGGATGGTAACATAAGCTCAATTTTGACAATAGTCTGGACCACAATCCTTATTGCAAAGAAGTAAAAAGGAGCAGTGGTTCTCACACCCTGTAAATATTTGCTCCTGTGATGCATGCCACATGCCCGCAGACCAGCTTGTAGTAAGGAGATCAAACACCAGAGGAACAACAGACATCTCATCAAGCCAAGGAAGGCAAGACTGCGCTGGATTTGGGTTAGGATGGAGTGAAGGAGGACGTGAACAGAACGGTGTGATGCCGCAGGCTCGCAGGATGTGAGGAGAGAGCGTCCCATCAGACGCTGGGTCTGATTCCTCAGAGACTTGAAGATGCAGAATGCTGTGCCTGAAACCCCCATCGCAGTTCTTCACCCAGGCGGGAAACTGCCGCAGCACTGTGCCAGAGTGACGCATGCGCCTCAGATTATCCAGGCAAGGATGGAATGCTTCATTTTGGGAGAGGGGGGGTTTCATTTTTACTCATAGGATTTCAAACCGCATTTTAAACAGCCTATGACTTTAGTCGCGAAGTTTTGCAGTGATTTTTTTTTTCAGGCAATAAGAATAAAACTGAGGCTGGGGTGTTATTGGGAAGGAAATGGTAGTTACATGAGTAATTATGACAGCTTCAGCTGCAATGAAATCCACAAGCGCTCGGGGCCGACTGACTTTCTCATCCTGGGCTGAGCTGTAATACTTTCATTACTCAACTGGTTTTGATGCTTTCACCAGTAACAGAGGCCCAAACTCTGCTCTACTAACACCTGGGGATCCAGCCGACTCTTCACTCTCTGCCTGCAAAGTGTCAAACTTGTAAGTAAAGTAAGGTGTTTGCAGGAAGCTCGGTTGCTAGTACTTGGGAACCCATGTCTGAGAAGGTGGTAAGACCAAGTTTCTCTGCTGTTTGCTGCACAAACACAAACGCAGTTCACCCAGTTCGCCCATCGCTCTAACATGGACTTGGGAGAGTACATTGGGCCAAATTGCTAGTGTCTCCAAAACGCATTGTAGTTAATGAGCCAACTTCTGCCCCCGTGATACTTTCCTGGAACTGTCTGACTTCATCCCTCCCCCAGCGTGGAATGAGCCGATTTATAATTTCAGTGAAACTCGGCTCTTTCCCCACCGTGGTAACAATACGCTCAAAGTGAACAATGCGGCCATTCACTACAGAGATGGTTACACTCAGCCCACCATCGCCATGTGGGTCTGGAGGTTCCAAGAGCATGGTTTATTCTCCTGCATCTTCTTCTGTAACCACTGCAGGTCACATAAGAGTGATGGAATAAGCCCCACCACTACTACCCCCTCCAACTCCATGGAGAAAGAGAAAAAGAAAGGTCACATTGCCTTCATCTGAGGGGCTTTCTTTCTGGGGTCTGCCCTGACTTCTTTTCAGTATCAAACAACTCTCCAAAAAACATAGTCTTACTAAAGGAAGAAGTTAGCTATTTGTCCCCCTGCCCACATACCTATTCCCTTTATAAAAGTGAAAGGGGCCACATATGATACTAATATTTTCCCACAAGGCCACTAGGTTCTCAAGACAGTTCCAGTTGGAGTTGTTTTAGCCCCTGTAATTTCTTCTACAGTTTGGTCTTTGGGGCTCCACGAATAGTACCATACCCCATCGCCCTGCCCCAGCCTACCCGGACACCTTCCTCACCTAGGATGCTGTGATGAAGGCAGTCCTCACAGTGGGTCATCAAGGGGGACCGTTCTGTCCTGGGGCAATGGTTCTCAAGCCTAGGGTTAGTCAGGATCACCTGGGAGGCTTGTCCCTTCACTGGCCCCCATCCCATAGCTTTTCATTCGGTAGGTCTGAGGTGGGGCCTGGAATCTGCATTTCTAACAAGTTGCCAGAAAATGCTGATACTGCTGGATCCAGGATCATATTTTAAGAGCCACTGCTATGAGGGAGATGGCTCATCTGAGAGTAGAAGCAGATTCAATAGAAAGAATAGGTGGGCTTCAGGTGGCTTTTGATAGCCTTCCATTAAGGCAATGGATTCTATCCCTAAACACTTGAATCTAATTGGGCCTTTGATACGTTTGGCCAATAGAGTATTGTGAATGTGACTGCCCGTACGTGGCTTCCCAGGCTAGGTCATAGCAGGCAATGCAGCTTCTCAGAACACTCATTCTAGAGAAGGCAGCCATCAGGGAAGACGGCCAGCAACCCTGAGACGACCGTGCTAGAGCAGCCGAGTGGACGATGGTCCCAGATGAGCCTATTTTTACCCATCCACAGCAGGTGCCTGACATGCACATGAAGCCAACCTGCACCCTTCAGTCTAGCTCATCTGCAAACTGAGTGCCAGAGGGGCCTCGGTTAAAGCCTTCAGGAGAAGTTGCCTTGCCAAGCTTGGTCCCAATTCCTAACCAACAGATTCCTTGAGACAAGGTGGTTGTTTTAACGTGCCCAGTTTTGGAGTAGCTACTTACTCAGCGGCAGAAGACGGGAATAGTGCTTCTAGGAAGAAGGGGTGGGAGGGAAACAAACCACAGTGCTCACGGTGAGGGAGGTGTCAAGACAAGAGGAGCTCTACTGGCCTGCATTTGGTGCCCTCTGCAGGAACCTGGAGTAGAAATCTGTCTTTCTAACTCCTGCTGGGACTTTATCTGAGCAGCAAAAAATGCCACAACTGAGGGTCATACTGTCCAGCCTTGTCACCAACAGTGGAGAACTCGGGTATGTAGATTAGAGATTCACTGCGTTAACAGCCTCAGTTCTTCCCAGTCTCTTGCTCCACACCCTTTCTGGTGTGTACTTGCAACTTAGCCCATGAACAGGTGAAGTGTCTTTCCTCACTCCTTGATTCTAAGTTTGAGTCTGTGACTTGCTGTGGCCAATGACATGTTAACAGTCACGACAGAAGCACTCTGTGGCTCCTGCGTCACCTCTGCTTTGCCGCGACCGCCCGCCTGGGCTGGAGGGCTGGAGGGTAAGACACACGGGACAGAGCCCGAGTTATTCCAGTCGTGCAGCGCCGTCTCAGGTCAGCTACCGTCCAACTGCAGCCATCAGGCCAGACCAGAGTTTAGCTGAACAGAGTCCAAACTGCCACTCTACCAATTTGTGAGCAAATAATTGTTTCTTGTTTTAGGTCACTGAGGTGGTTTGTCACACAGAATAATGTTGGCAATGGTTAATTGAACAGAAACTCCCTTAGACATGAATGTACATCTGCACTTTCCCACTGAGGTGGTTCAAGTCTCACTATTTCCACCTGAGAGCTATTGAAGAAGTGACAGAGGCTCCTATAATTTCATTTATCCAAATTAATGAACACCCATTAGAGACACTATAGGGAATTAAAAGGAGTTGGGGCATGGTGGCGCGTGCCTGTAATCCCAGCACTCGGGATGCTGAGGCAGGAGGATTGTTGCAAATTTGAGGCCAGCCTGGGCTACAAAGTGAGCTCAAGGCCAACCTGAACTGCATAGCGAGACCCTGTCTCAAAAAGATTTAAAAAAAAAAAAAAAGAATTAAAGGGAATAAGGACACCATCCAACTAGCTGTTTATAGTCTAGCAGGAACACATGTATACATAACAAAATGTTTAAATCAGGTTAAACATATTTATATCCTCAATATTTATCATTTCTCCATGGTGAAAACTTTCCAAATCCTTTCTTCTAGCTTTTTGAAATGTACCATATGTAACTGTTACCTATAGTCACCACACTGTGCAGTAGTACCAGTACCCCAGGGCTTTTCTCTCTGATCCAGTTGCATCTTAGTACCTATTGATCAACCCCACCCCCAGCCCCGCTGCTCTTCCTGGGCTCTGGTATCCACCCTTCCACACTCAGCATCCAGGAGATCACCTTTTTTAGATTCTACATTTGAGTGAGATCACGCAGTACTTGTCCCTCTGTGTCTGACTTATTTTACTAACACAATGATCTCTCTTGCAAGTGATGAAAGTTTTTTTATAGTGGATCAGTATTCCGTCGTGTATATGCAGCACATTTTCCTGATCATCACTGATGGCTAGTTAGGTCGTTTCCATTGCTTGGCTGCTGTGAAGAGCTGCAGCGAACGTGGGACTTCAGATGTCCCTTTACTGAATCCATTTCCTCTGACTATATATCCAGTAGAGCAATTGCTGGAAAATACAGTACCTCTCCTTTTAATTTTTTGAGAAATTTCCATACTGATTTCCATAACAGAGGTACTCACTCACGTTACCATGAGCATTGTGCAAGGGTTCCCTTTTCTCCACATCCTTTCCACCGTTTATTTTGGGGGATTTTTTTCTTTTTTTTCTTTGCAGTTTCAGGGGTTGAAGCTAGGGCCTCACACATGCTAGGCAGGTGCTCTCTCACTGAGTTATGGCTCCTGCTCATCGTTTTTTGTTTTGTTTTTGAGACAGGGTCTAGGTAAGGTTCCCAGCTTGGTCTTGAATTTAAGATCCTCCTGCCTCAGCTTCCTGAGTAGCTGAGACTGCAGGCATGTGACACCTCACCCAGCTGGCACTTGTTATCCCTGTCTGATGTAATAACCATTCTTTCTGCAGTGAGGTGGTATCCATGGTTTTGTGTTTCCCTGACGATCAGGGAACCTGTTGGCCCCACGTATATCTTCCTTTGAGAAATGTCCACTCATATCTATTGCCCACTTAAAATCCAGTATTGACTTTTTGGATTTCCTTATATGTTCTGGATACAAACCCCTTGTCAGATATATACATTGTACATATTTTCTCCCATTCCGTAGGCTGTCCCTGCACTGCTGAATGCTTCCTTTGCTGTCCAGAATCTCTCAGTTTTATGTACAGTAAGTCCCCAGCTTATGAACATCGAGTTGCAAATTTTCACAGATATGAACAGACCTCGCATTACGAACATTCATAGATGCAAACAAATCACGGAAGTAGCTCATGTGTGTGCTGGACATTGTCACCGTTGTGCTGCTGTGTGCTTACTGTACAGTGCGATAGTGTACAGTAGTCCAGTACAGTGGGAACTTACTGTATTTCTTGTGTTCGGTTTTTTATGCTTTACGTGTGCCAAGGTGTATAACACTCACTTTGTCAGTTACGAACAAATCCAACTTACAGATGTTCTCCTGAAACAGAACTTGTTTGTAAAATGGGGACTAACTATAATCCCATTTGTCTATTTTTGCTTTCCTTTCCTGTGTCCTGAAGCTCCGTGCCCATCCCAATGTCCTAAAGCAATTCCTCTAAAGTTTCTTCTAATAGTTTCAGGCCTTACATTTAAGTCTTTAGTCCATTTTGAGTTGATCTTTGTAACTGATGAGAGATAAGGGTCTAGGTTCATTCTTGTATATATTTTGGTTTTGGTTTTTTTTTTTATTTCTTCCAGTACCAGGAACTGAACTCACAATCTTGCGCTTGCCGGGCAGGCGTTTTTGCCACTGAGCCAAATCCCCAGTCCCCATTCTTATATATAGATATCCAATTTTCCCAATACCACTTATTGAAAAGACTGAAGAGGTCTTTCAGTGCATGTTCCTAACACCTATACTGAAAATTATTGCTCTATGAGGTACACACCTGTAATCCCAGCATGTGGGAGACTGAGGTAGGAGGAGCTCAGCAATTTCAAGGCCATTCTGGGCTACATAGTGAATTCAAGGAAACTACATAGTGAGTTTTGTCCCAAAATAATCAGTTGGCCGTAGATTTGTACATTTTGTTCTAGGCTTTCTATTTTGTTCCATTGATCTATGTATCTGTTATTATGCTAATACCATGGTATTTTGATGACTATAGCTTTAATATATGTTTTGAGGCATAATGCTTCATTCTTTGTTCTTTTTGCTCAAAATGGCTTTGGCCATGCCAGGAGATTTTGTGTTTTCATATAAATTTTGGAATTTTTTTCTAGTTCTATGAAGAGTGCCATTGGTAGCTTGATAAGGATTGCACTAAATCTATAAATCACATAGAGAATTATGGACATTTTAATAGTATCGGTTTCTCTACGTACTGGCCTACAGTAGAGACTATGGGGCTTTTCCCCCATGGCATGCCTCGTAGTTCAATGTCTGAATTTAATTTTTCTCCATCCCCCAAGGAGGAGGCATTTCTCTCCATCCCCCAAGGAGGAGGCATTTCTCTCCGTGCCAGGCTGTTTGGAGTTGGAGGAAGGGTGATATGGTCCATTGTTTCCTTCCAACCTTCTTCGATGCATCATTTTGTTTTGCTACGCCAAAGCAGACACTGTGGCCTCTCATCTGATCTCAACCTTTGTGCTGGTAGTTTGGTGCATAGCTGTTCAATCCAGTGTGTCTGCGGGGACAGATTACTAGAGGCTCTTATTCAGCTGCCAACTTGCTCTGCACCTTGCCCAAAGTCCTATCTTTTTAAAATTGAAGTTTAGCCAGGCGTGGAGGCGCACGCCTGTAATCCCAGCACTTGGGAGGCTGAGGCAGGAGGATCATTGTGAGTGTGAGACCAGCCTGGGATACAAAGTGAGCTCACAGTCAGCCTGAACTGCATAGCAAGACCCTGTCTTTTTTTTTTTTTTTTTGGTTTTTCTCCGGTACCGGCAACCGAACTCACGACCTTGCGCTTGCCAGGCAGGCGCTTTTGCCGCTGAGCTAAATCCCCAGCCCCAAGACCCTGT